GTTTAGGTGGGTTGAAGTGAAGTGTGGACCAAATGACATACTGTACTGGGAAACATTTTATAAATTAACTGCTAAAGAGACATTAATAATAATAATAATAATAATAAGTAAATAAATAAATAGACCTAGTAGTTACATTGGTCTGTTTTATACTTTTCCATTGCTTTTCAGAGAGAGTGGAAGGTAGAGAGAGAAACATTGATGTGAGAAAGACATTGATTGGTTGCCTCCCGCACATGCCCCAACCAGGGCTGGGGATCAAGCCTGCAACCAAGGTACGTGCCCTTGACCAGGGATCGAACCCCAGGATGCTTCGGTCCGCAGGCCGACACTCTAACCACTGAGCCAAACTGGCTAGGGCTTACTTTTTTTCTGAAACATTTATAGTTGGTGTAGTTGGAAATTTAATAGCAACATCATAAAATGAGTTTTTTTATTACCAAACATTTTTCACATCCTTTATACCATTATATTTGGTATAAAGGATGTGAAAAATATACCATTCAAATATACCATTATATATGAAAACTATATTAGATATCAGAGATCTGCTTCCTGGTCTCAACTTGCTCATCTATTAGCTGTGTGACCTTAGACAAGCGAATCAACTTCTGGCCTCTGTAACCTCACATAAAATAACCCTCCGCCTAATGCACATGGTCACTAGGAGGATCATATGAAATAATGGATGGGCAAAAAGTTTGCAAACTCTACTGGTACATTAATAAAGGGAGTATTATCCTTGTTATCTACACTGACTCTCATCTTTTGATTGCATCTTCTTTTGATTTCTAAATGAGGTAAAATATATAAAAATGCCTACAAAGTATACATTACATAGTATTCATTTATCTTTTTTATTTATTCTGAATCATACTGTGCTCTTATTAAGTGCTCAAGAAGTTACTTTCAGTAGAGGGAGAGAGACAAGTAAGCAAATAAAATTAATAAAGTGTTCTTCACTTTTCCATCAAAATAGCCCTAATGGCACAGGAGGGAGAACCCATATCTCCCTGGAGTTTGGGGCATAGCCTATATTAAGAAATTAATTTCTTTGAATTTTACCTTTTAAAAGACTTACAAATTTTGCATTCCACACTACAATATAGCCCCATTTGTTTTGCTGTTGCTTTTATTACATAGCAACCAGTTAAACAAGTGGGGTTTATTTTGGAAACACAAGGGTGATTTAATATTTGAAAATCAATGTAATGCACCAACATAAATAGCCTTAAGAAGAAACAGGCAATCATATAAATTGATGCTAAAAATTGGATAAAATTCAATATCCAGTCATGATAAAAATGTCTCAGCAAACTAGGTAGGGAAGGGTCCTTTCTTTCTTTTCTTAAATTATTGACAGTATTACAGATGTTTCCCATTTTCTCCCTTTTTGCCCCCCTCCACCCAACCCCTACCCCACCAAGTTATTCTTAACTTGATAAAGGGCAGCTGTACAAAGTCTATAGCTAATATGGTATTTAATGGTGAAAGACTGAATGCTTTCACCGTAAGACGGAGAAAAAGGCAAGGGTGTCCACTCTCACCACTCCTATTTAACATCATATTGGAAATCCTAGCCAGCACAACAAGGGAAGAAAAAGGGAACAAAAGGCATACAAGTTAGAAAAGAAGAAATTAAACTGTCCCTATTTGCATACAATATGAGGAGGTACACAGGGTTGGCCAGAGCTGGCAGGCAGGCCTCACTCAGGTACATGGGGGAGGAGAGGCCTTAGTGTTGGGCAAAGCCAGGCCTGCCTAGTGGATGATTCACACACATGCACAAAGCTGCCCTGGAACTTCTGCATCTTGTAGGGGATGGTGGGAAATCAAAAGACAAACTCCTAGGGTCACCTTGATCTCTGGGCCTAGCAGGTGGCTGGAGCTGGTGACAATCACACACTAGTTACACCAGGACAATGTCTTGTTGCTGAAAATGGAGATGTACCATTTGGTGATGCTTCATTTCTTGAGATTAACAGATAAGGCCCCGCTGGGAGTCCTAATGGAAGACCTTAGCGGCATTGTTGGAATTGTAGAGGATGGATGGTGATGAAGGCCAAAAGGATCACCAAAATGCTGACCACTGCTCTTTCCTGATTCTTATTTTCGTTGGTGTCTTCAGAGGGGTGGGGCTGGCACCTTTAGGTGACCTGGGTGGTACACCTGCCCCAGGAAATGCTGACACTCCATGGTCTCCTCACTTGGTGAGAACCCTCCTGGTCCTCAGGCTGCTCAGTCCCACAGCAGTCCTGGCCTGCCCTGTCCTAGGGGAACCGCTAGATGCTTGGGCCCAGGCCTGCGAGGCTGGCAGAGCATCCTGTTTATTTTAATATATAATTTTTTTCATCCAAAAGCAGACCAGAGAGCTGTGGTAATGCAGTGGTGAAACAGAAGATATTTTTTCAAGCTGTGTTTACCTCCAACTGTGATCACTCTCATGCTTCCTAGCTCCCTTTTCCTGTTCTCCAAATCTTTATATGGATTTTCTCCAATTCTCTTGGTAAAGTTCACTCTTCTCACTCTCACAGCTCGCCTAATTCTGATTGTTTGTACATTTTCCCTTTTCATTTTTCTTACAACTTTTCCAACCTCTCTAGTCCAAGTGTTAATTCGCTAAATTTATACATGCTTCTGCTAAAGGCCACCTGGATGCCTTTGTCCTGTCTTGAAGCCCCCTCCCTCCCCCCGCCAACCAGCAGAAGACTTAGACCTCTTGGAGGGCGGGAACTTGGGCAGAAAGGCACTTGGGGAGGCTCACGTCTCAGCATAACCGAATGACCTTTTGTTCTCCAAAGTTGTGAGACAAAGTAGAAACATAATAAGCTCTTCTGCTATCTTTGTCCTATGATACCAACAACACTCTCTGTAGGACAGCATGAGGAACAGAAGGTAAGGGGAACAAGGATTCTCGCAGAGGTTGCAAAATAAGATCCGTGCCACCAAGAGAAACTTTCAAAATCAGAAACTCCCTTTCTCCCCAGCTCTTTTTAAGTCTTATGCCCTTTCTCTCCTTCCCCAGACCAGCCACTGTCCAACAGAAATATAATGTGAGCCACAAAATTAATTTTAAATATTCTAGTGGCCACACTTGAAAAATAAAAAGCAACTGCTGAAATCAATTTTGATGTTTTAACTTAATAAACCCAAAATAAAAATATTATCGTTTCAACATGGAATCAATATGAAAATGGAGAGATTTTGCATTCTTTTTACTGTGCCAAGGCTTTGGAACCCGGCGTGCATTTGGCACGTACAGAACATTCATTTCAGATTGGCTGCATTTCA